CAGTATCTATAGTATCTGAAGGAATAAGATCCTTACCAACAATCCTTAACAAATCTTATAAGATAAACATCTTTTAAGATAAATAGATAGACTAGACTTGGTAGAAAGATACATAGATCTTCACATCCTAGACTCTCCAAGACCCCTAGCAACCAAAAACCCTCATGTGCCACCCTTTTTCTCTCAGTGTCATTACACACAAGTAAAGCAATGCAAGGAAAACTACAAAACTGCTAAACTCCAACCGTAACTAGCTAGAGGAGATGTCTTCGACGACGACTACGACTACGACTACGATGGTGGCGTGTCTCGAAGATGCAATGTTTCGGACACACAGCACACTGTGTGATTTCAGTGGCATGCAACTACCACTAGTGGCAGAGAGTCAACGACAACTAATGCTAAGCATTCCGTGTCGCATTTATATAGACAACGTGCGGCCAAAGTTGTGGCCGTCTTTGTTGGCTTTTTGCTTTTCTTTTCTTTTTGTGGCATCTGGTTAAACGTTGATGTTGATTTGCTCCTCGGCTCCTCTCCGAAATTGTTTCTCAATTGCGTTTACGGGCTTAGACATACCTACTAGATACATAGATACAATACTATACTATATATAGTTAATAGGTTAGCACAACAACGAATACGAAGATGCAACTGCCAGATGCAGATACAGATAGCACGAGTTTGGGTTTGGGTCAAGGAATTGTCGTGACAACACGGGGCTTTATCTCAGCTATATATAGTATCTATGTATATAGTATAGGTACTATTATTATAAGATGACGTTAATGAATTGCGCAACTTATCAGGCCTGAGTCAGTGTATCTATCTATCTGCAGATAGCTCTGCATCTGTATCTGTATCTTTCCGAAATAATAAGCTTCTTAAAATCCAACAGTCGGCAAGTCGTCAATCATTTTTAGTAGCTACTAAATGGGGATATACTAATACTAAGAGGATAACACTTAGTCTTGACTCTTTAAAAATTAAATACATTAACTCGAGATGATTATTATTTAATTTAAAAAAAATAAAGTAATTTTTTAAGTGCCTTTTAGACTCTCTCAGAGGCCGCCCTTTTTGAATTCCTGTTGGCGTTGCAGTTCCTGCCAATTTCATGTCTCTTTTTTTTTTACAACTTGCCGCATTGTTTTCCCTTAATTGTTTTTAAATATTAAATCACCCAACGACCAGGCCTTTATTTATGAGATACATTTTGGCGCAAAAATAATCCAAATAATCCACTGCCCCTGCCCCCGACCCTGCCCCTTGACTTGTTAATTGAAATTAAATGTTCATTTTCGACAAAACATTTTTAAATGGTAATTGAAACACGTGGCCAAAAATATAATTTTATTTTTTGGGAAAATTTTGCTAATGAAATAGAGGATTTTCCGGGGGGTAGGGGGGGTTTAAATGATATTATATATTTTTTGTAATTCAATTTTCACAGGCAGTTGGGAGAAAAATGTAATTTTGATAAAATTAACTTTTTTTTTTTTTGGCGACATATTGGGAAATCATTTTGCTATCAATCGCAAGAGGGGGGGAGGGGTACCGATCCCAAGAAGGCCAACAGAAGTTGCCGCACACGTACGCAAATAAAAGGATGTGAGTCGAATTAAAATCGTTGCCACAAGCAGTAGCAGTATCTGAAGCAAGGCAGCAGCAGGCTGTCAGGCTAAAGATACAGATACAGATATGGAAACAGATACAGATACAGATACGGATACCCAAGGAGTGAGATACATACGGCACTTGACGCAAAAAATACTTAAGTTCATTTGCGCCACTTTGTGTTCTGCAGCCTGCATTTTAAATAGATTCTTAACAGTATCTTTGTATCTCTGTATCTTTGTATCTTTAAAGAACAGATCTTTTCGTTGCTCTACTCCACTTTCTATGCAAATCGAGGAAAGTCTCTCAAAAGACTTGTAGTCTAATGACTCATCAATAGATACTCTATAGGCTTCTATAAATAGTAATGCTAATGTCTAAAGAATATTTCAAACTCCGTAAATCAATCAGCAGGCAAAACAATATATCCAAACAAGTTATTATCAGACAGGTGCTGCGGCATCACATCATATCTATAGATACTTTTTTTTTTTTTTTGCGCTACTCCCAAGGTCATAGCTACTCCAGGAGTATCTAATACCGATGACCTCACTTACTGACCCCAACCCTACCTGTGTACCACACAAGCTTTTTATGACGCCAGTTGGAAGATGGGAGATTCTCTAATGAGCTTCGTTGGAGCTCTTTGGTTTTTATGGCCTCTTCAAGATAGAAACAGAGATGAGAAGTAATTGGGATTTTTTGTTAAATACTTTTTAGGGAGTTTTTTTTTAGAAGATGTAGGAAGATATATGTAGGAAATGAGATATGATCTTTGGATAGATCTTAGAGAGTATATATTTTAGGGAAAAGCTTGGTTTAAAGATTGGCCATATTTTTAAAAGATTTTTAGATAGTTTTTGTAGAGCATATGTTTATTGGAGAATATATATCAGATATAGCCATGACTAAGTAGTTTTACTATACTTATGTATATACTGTGCTAGATATAGTACTAGGGATACTAGAGATTATACTATACTATACTAGATTAGACAAGAGGATCAAAACTACATCTTCATTTCATCTCTTAATTTTTTTTATTTTTTTTAAAGATTTTTTAAAGTTATTATTGAGAATATGTATTATATTGTTTATATATTATGTACATATATACATGTATGTATGTATGTATGTATGTATATATATCAGATATGCATATATATTATCAGGAAAAAAAATATATTTTTAACTTATCGACTTGAGGTTCGAAACTACATCTTTATTGCATCTTTTTTTGAGATTTTTTTCGCATTTTTTTTTTTTAAAGATTTTTGATAGTTTCTATAAAAATTAGGTATATATATTATCAGAAAAAAGCCATATCTAACCTACTTATCGTCTTGAGGTTCTAAACTACAGCTAGATCTCAACTTTTAAATGTTTTTTCTATTTTTTGTTTTTAAATATTTTTTTTTGTCAATTTTTTTTAATTTTTACATGTTTTTCGGAACTTTATTTATTTTTTAAATATTTCACAAAGCTCTAGCTCATATATCACTAATTATAGAAAGAGGCGGAACCCTCAAAACTACTAGAAAGTCATGTCTAACCTACTCAACAATTAAACTTTAGTTACTAAAGTTTCGAAACTCCATACATCAACATCTTCATCTTTATTTCATTTATTTTTTATTTTTTCCCTTTATTTTTTATGTTTTTTTTTACAACTCCAATACTATATATCTTTATGAACTTTATTGACTCTTCAAATCTTCCGCCAGAGGTGTAGCTCATTTATTACCGATTCTTATGGCCCCTAATAGAATAGTATCTGAGTATCTGAGTATCTCATCTAATCGTTTATTTAGAAGATACATTAGTTTAATTCGCCATCTAACAGTAATCTTAAGCATTAGCGCTAATGTTTTTAAACCGAAATCTTCCTAAATGGCTTCCAGGGGATACATTTCCGTTTGTTCTTCCATCACAGCATCACTCCGGATCATTGAACCAAAAGATCAATGTACGGATATATCTGGTTTATCTCTTAAGGGGGGGAGGGGGATTTTGGTTTCTCTTTTGGATTCTATGACGGGTTAGAATTGTAAAAGTCATCGAGGCTCATTGACCCATTTTGGTAGCCGAATAGTTAAAGGCATCATTAAAATTTCTATCTGTATCCGAGAGAGTGCTAGCTGTCTTGCTGTCTTGCTGGCTTTAAGCGAGTTTTGTTGGCTTTTTATTCCCGGTCTGGGTGCGACATACATTCCGGGGCATTTAGGTTCGAAAGATCGAACCTGTTTTGCTTAGCAAATTACCGACCAACAAGCTTCTGGCTTCTATTATATTCTACAGTTCTACAATTCTACAGTTGGGGTTCTGTATTCTCTCAAGTAATCGCATAAGCATGACGCGTATATTTAATGGCAAATTGACCCAAATCGTTTTTCGTGGATATGTGAAAGCCCCGCAGCGAACTCTACCTCTGTCTCTGTCTCTTTAAATGATAAATGATGGATGCCCCCCCTTATGACCATATCTCGAAAGAGGGCCTTGAACCTTTGGATATATAAAGAATCTTTTTCTGACACTGCTTTTCGCTCTAGTTGAGAATTTCAGATTAGATTTTTACCTTGCCAACTTGCCACCTTGCCACCTCTCTTTTGGCAGCTTGTTGAAAGCTTGTTGCAACATATTTTTCGACTGCCTTTTGTATATCTCGTCTCTGGTGTTTTTGCGGCGCATGCAAATGAAATGGAAAACATTTGACTAAAAACTTGCACTACTTGCTGATGTTGCTGCTGCATGTTGCTGCTGCATGTTGCACTTGCCCCACCACACCACCCCAAAACCACAACACTGAAGCACTCTTCACGCCATCCATAAAACGCTTAAACCCTGACATTTATGATGAGTTTCCTCCTGGCTTATGGATGGCTGTGTTGAATCGAAATATGTGTCTCTCTGTCTCTCTGTATTTAATAAAACGAGAAATGGTATGGCAGGACCTGCCCCCTCCTCCAGTCCCTAATCCTGGTTGCAATGTCATAAATATTAGAAGGCCCTGCCTAGACAGCCAGTGCCGGACAAATGCTGGACGTTGAAGGGAATGATGTTCCTCGTTTGTCTCTCGCACGCACTGCCACAAAGATACAAAGATACAAAGATACAAAGCGGCAGATACACAAACAGATTGTCGCCTGCAGTGTTTGCCATAAAAGGATACAAGGATAGCAAGGAGTGTGTGTGTGTGAGATGGTGTGGTGTGGTGTGGTCTGCCTCTGCCTGTGGTGTGATGGAAGGGAGGACAACGCAAATATATTGAGACTTGCCCAGTGGCTACAGTGGGTTAGGTTCAAGGATAACTATAAGGATATTTATCAAAAAAGGACCATCTTAAGGACCTAAATATAATTCTCTATCTCTCTATCTTTTTTTTATAGCGCTGTTTTATTAAAAACTTCGGATTATCCATCCAAAAAGGACACCCAGGACACCCATCCTAGCAATACATAGCAGCTATAGCCATGGCCCACTCAAAAGTGATACTCAAGATCCTGTTCTCGCTGTGCGTCTGGTCCTTTGTGATCATCGGGCTGTTTAAGATGCATGGCACTAATCTGGTGCCGCAGGAGTACCAGCAAGTGCCGTTAAACGGACGCATCCTACTGCAAAAGGATATGCGTTTCGCAGAAACCACATCCACGACCACAGATCACTTTGATCCCAGTGAGATTCTGGTGGATAATAGAACCGGTATGTAAAGGATACTTATTTTTCTTCTCAAATATATTATCCTTTATATGATCCTTTAGCCATGGACGATGATCAGCTGGTCCGGGATGTTGAATCAAGGATACCATCGCTGCCCATTGCCTATTGGAGCAAAAATAAGAACTTTTTGCAACAAAAGTCCTCCACCTGCGCCAAATATCCGTCCATATTCGAGCTGGAGTTCAACAACATCTACTGGCAGACGTTGCGCACCTCGAACGGCACCTTCCAGCTGTTTGGCGCCTACTACGATATACGGCGTACCTCGCTGCTGGGGCCCACTGTACGCATCCTGGGCATGATCGATCGGATCGAGCCCAAGGTCAAGACCTACTGCCAGTTCTGGTTCGACGGCCAGAAGGAGCCGTTCATCGTCAAGACGTTCGAGTACAAGTACATCTGGTACAACAAGTGGGGCAACTACAAGCAGGGCATCTACCAGCCATACCTGATCGCCTGCCAGATCCCCAAACCGTTCCACGGCGTCGTCCCCAGCTCGGTGTCCATGGTGGAGAAGGAGTGCGACACTGCCACCAATAATCTAAGGGTCATCTACAACCGGCCGCCGGATGACCAGAAAAAGGGTTTTGCCGTTTGTGTCAAAGGCTTGGACTTCCTGTACGATGATCTCAGTGTGCGGCTGATCGAGTGGATCGAGATGCTGAATATCCTGGGGGCCGACAAGATCTACTTCTACAACCTGCAGGTGAGAACCTCCTCCTCCTCTTTCAAGAACCTCCATAAATATTAAGTCTTTAAAAGGTAGATTTTTTTTAATTTTTATTTGAATCTTTCTCTTAAAAATTACAATATTAGAAGCTTTAATTAATATCCTTTTGAGGTTAAGTTCCAATCCTTTGATTCCTGCAATGAAACAGAAACATAAATATTAGTATTAAATATTAATATTATTTTTATTCCCCCTTGCCCCCCAGGTACATCCCAACATCACCAAGGTACTTAACCACTACGAGCAAGAGGGCAAGGTCCAGGTGATACCACTGACCCTGCCCGGCGGGCAACCGAATGTGCCCGGTTTCCAGCACCTGTACCTCACCAAAAAGACGAACCACAAGCGACAGAACGAGGTGATCCCCTACAACGACTGCCTCTACAAGAATCTCTACCTGTACGACTACATAGCCCTCCTGGACATCGACGAGGTGATCATGCCCAAGGGCGGAGCCGTGCTCTGGTCCGAGCTAATGGACAAGGTCAAGCCGGAATCGCTGAAAATCAAGCCGGACGGCTTCCATAGCTACAACTTCCGGAATGTGTACTTCCTGGATGACCAGCAGCACGAGCACGGGTGGCACAAGGATATCCCCAAGTACATGCATATGCTGCAGCACGTCCATCGGGCCAAGAACTATACCAAGCCGAACCAGTATGTGAAGTGCTTCCACGATCCGGAGAGGGTGCTGACCCTCCACAACCACTTCCCGCTCTCCTGCCTGGGCGGAGTGTGCAAATCCTATCCGGTGGACACGCAGGACGCCCAGCTGCAGCACTATCGGGCGGATTGCGTCAAAACGCTGAAGAAGAGCTGCGAGGAATACCGCGAGAACTCCGTGGAGGACAAGACCATTTGGAAGTACAAGGACGAGCTCATCCGGCGCACAATCAAGGCCCTGGACACGCTCGGCTTTTTCCGCCGCCAGGGCCTCAACTCCGGCTCTTCAGGATCCGGGGGTAGCAGCGGACTGGGCAGCGGTGCCACAACGCACTCAACGGAGCGGTGATTCATGCTACTGGGGGGAGGGGGAGGTAGCTGGTCCTGGCCCTGGCAGCTCGTGGAGGCGTCCGGCGGAAGTTTAGGAAATGAAGAGTTCTTTGTGTAAGCCTCTTGTGTGATCTTGTGTGTCTGTCTTCCCCATTCCGGCGGTGCTGCCCCCGCCCTGAACTGTGCCCAGGCCGTACAGTCCTGTAGGCAGTAGTGCCCTAGCCGTACAGAGTAGCCTGTACTGTCTACGCAGATACGGTCACACTTTAAAATTAGGTAAAAAAAAATTAGTGTGACCAGGTTTGTATAAGAAAAAGGTGTGACCGTATTTTAGTGCCAGACAAAAAACATTTTCAAAATACGGTCACACTTTTTTGTCATGAAAACCTGGTCACACTAATTTCGGATTTATAAAAACACGGTCACACTAAAATACGGTCTCACTAATTAGTGTGACCAGGTTAACATAACAAAAAAGTATGACCGTATTCTAGTTTTTTTTATAGATAAAATTAGTGTGACCAGGTTTGCATAACAAAAAAGTATGACCGTATTCTAGTGTGACAGTATTTTTATAGAAAAAAATTAGTGTGACCAGGTTTGCATAACAAAAAAGTATGACCGTATTTTAGTGTGACCATATTTTAGTGTGACCGTATTTTAGTGTGACCATATTTTAGTGTGACCGTATTTTAGTGTGACCATATTTTAGTGTGACCGTATTTTAGTGTGACCATATTTTAGCGCCAGAAAAAACATTTTCGCAATACGGTCACACTTTTTTGTTATGTAGACCTGGTCACACTAATTTCGAATCTATAAAAATACGGTCACACTAAAAAATACGGTCACACTTTTTTGTTATGCAAACCTGGTCACACTAATTTTTCATCTTAAAAAACGGGCACACTTTTTTGTTATAGAAACCTGGTCACACTAATTTTTATCTAAAAAAAAACCGGGAACATTTCAAATACGGTCATACTTTTTTGTTATGCAAACCTGGTCACACTAATTTTCATCTATAAAATACGGGCAACCTAAATATACGGTCACACTTTTTTGTTATGCAAACCTGGTCACACTAATTTTTATCTTAAAAAAAACGGGAACATTTCAAATACGGTCATACTTTTTGTAATGAAAACCTGGTCACACTAATTTTTAACCTAATTTTAAAGTGTGACGGTATCACAGCGTAGGCCATACTGCGTCAGTACGGTACTCCCTTTGCCGTATAGCGTAGGCCGTGCAGCGTAGGACGTACTGCCCTGGCCGTAAAGCTAGGAGTACGCCGTATAGCGTCCCCTTACCGTCCTCTGGTCCTTGCTGTTCAAAAGGAAACGCTCAGCTCTTAGTTTTAGTTTTTACACAAACCGACTCGTTTTTTATAGATACATATATGAGAGATCAGATGGCTCTGTTCCGGATTCCACTTCTGGGATTAATTAAGTTGATTAATTAATCGTTAATTAATTAGTTGTTGGGTGAATAAAATAAATACCCTTTTCCATTGTTCCTTTTCATAAAAAATAAAGACAAATTTCAGTAATAGGCAGGTATAAGGTCCACTTTCTATGTCTAATGGTCTGTAAGATGAACCTATGACCTATGTATGACATTTGACCTATGAACTTCCTCCTTTCTTTTCAAGGAACAGAGCTGATTTCACTGGAGGAGCATGGCTAGTGTATAGAAGTGAATATAGTTAGGTAGATGTGGTTGGAGTTAAGAATATTATTGAAATTGTGCCTTCAAACTTGGATTGTTGAGTCCTTCCTTCCTTCCCTCCCTCCCACACACACTCTCACACACTCACACACACACACACAACAAGACACAAGGATACACAGAGAGTAACAAGAGGAGAACCGTGGGGTATACTTGAGTTTAAAAAAATCTTGTTTAATTTTTTTAATGTAAATCCAGAAACGAGCGAAATTTATTGGAAAATAATCATAGGGTTAGTAGTGAAGGAAACCTAAACTAAGTTCAAGACTGATGATGTTTATTAAGAGTTACACAAAAAAAAACACAAAAAAAAAAAAACAAAAATTGAGAAGAATTTCAAGCAAGATTTTTGTTTTTTCAGAATCGAAAAGAAACGATATTATTGTTGTTGTATAGACAAGTCGGGGAAGAACCCCGTAAAAAAAAAAAAAATAATGAAAAAAACTAAAAAATATCACTAAATTGTAAGCAGACGATTAAAGTTCTGAGTTGTAAACTGTAAATAGGAAGAATTGTTGAGAAGTACGAGGCCCCCCCAACCTAAAGCTAACTAAATGAATAAACACATATATATAGTATATATGCGGATAGGGCCGATCTGAATCGGAAAAACTAAAAGAATATAAGAGAAGCTGTTCAACCCAATTCAATTTTTTTTTTGTTTCATAAAAATAAGAGAAAAAAAAAATACAAACACACTATATACATTATGTTCTTAACTTGTACATAAACACACAAAGACATACACATAAACCACACATACACAAAAAAAAACACACACACACACACATATAAAAAAATTCCTTATGTATTGTATTTTATTTTATATATATATATATATTCGAACTATTATTATTTTAAAACTTACCTTTTAGTTTAAGTATTTCTTTGAAGTTAGCAGCTTAGTCAAATTGAAGGTCGGTGGTGTACAGTTTTGGGCATTTAATCGTCCATTAAGTGAACTATTCTGTAGTTGTACACACACACCCAAACAAACACACACACACACAAACACAAATACATATAGAAATACATATATATATACATCAACATCAACAGTTACAGATACAAGATACTTGAATGTACTAATGTTAGTTGGTAGCTAGTAAGAAGAAGAAAACCCTGTGTGAAGGAAAACCCAATTTTCTTTCCTCATTTTTTTTTTCGTAGCTAATAAATATTAAAAAGAACAAAAAATAAAAGATATGAGAACAAAGTGATTGAAAAATAAAATAAAAAAAAAAAACAACCAACAAATCTTGATTATTTGAGATAAGGCACCTTTACCTTTAAGAGGAAGGGCTTTCCAGTTGAATGGTTGGTTATCCTGGAGGGGTATGGGTGCCAAGACGTGCGGCACAAAACTTCCAGGAATGTAAACAACAAAGCATTTAGAGCCGAATCCACTCCAAGGCTACCCCGAAGAGGAGAGAGAGCCACTGCACACAAAACTTTGTGCCCGAGGAGCTCCAGAACCAGGACCAGGACCAGGAACAGGAGCAGGACCAGGGAGATGAAACAAAAGGATACGATGGAGGGTAGGGTAGGTACCAGAGAAGTAAGGAAATTTGTATAAACGCAACTTAAGTGAGCATTAAACACGCTCCACTGAAGGACCAAGACTCACAGGACTCGACAGGACCTTAACGTTGGCGTTGGTGTCTAAGTTGGTTAATAAACATTACCAACGCCACCAGAAACCATTTACGTGAACTATTAAAATTCCGCAGCATTTAAGTTCTCTGGAGCTCTGGAGTTTATCCTTATGCTGTGGGTAGAGTATCCTATATCCTTGCCTTGGTCTTATTTCATGATTATGTTTATTTATATGGCACACACGAGCCTGACAAGAAGGACTTTATAGAGGGTAATAAGGATGAAATGATGGGCCCAGAAAAAGGGTTATCCAGTTGATTGAAAATTCATAGCTTTTCTTCATCCAGTCACTCTATATATACTGACTTGTATAATAATAAGAAGGGATAAATGCAAATGCAGCCAACTAATTAAAATACCCCCCCCCAACGAGCTCTCTATTCCAAAAAAAAAAAAATCCTGAATATGAAATGCATTCATAATGCATGCGCATAAATCCATCCATAAAGAGCCGCGGCTTAAAAATTAAAATCAGCAATTAAATCCAGGTGGAGAGTGTCCACCAGGTGATGAAAAATACAAAAAAAATACAGAGAGTGGAGTGGTGGAGTGGAGGCTTGAATTTCATATTCATGGGCATTGGTTTCATTTCAGCTTCGATTTCAGGTTATTTGTGGCGGAATATAGAGGACATGGCCAGAAGGTGGGCTACCTGTTACCAGTTACACTGAGAATTCCATTCTATAAATCGAAATACAAGTTTTCTAAACTTTTCAGCTGGATATTTGAGTATTTTTTTTCAGTGTAGTAGCTGCTGGTGGCATTGCAATCTCAATTTGAATTTGAATGCAGATGGCGTTTGATTTTTGGCCAGCCTAATTATGTGCGTCTCTCTCTGGCGCGCTGATTATCCTGCCAGGAGGAGGAGGGACCAAGTCCACCCCACCCCCACCCCCTTGGAGGTGTGTGTGTGTGCCTGCGTGCAAGATTGGCAAACCAACCAGGAAATGCTAATTACATGTAAGTGTACACAGCATATGAGTGTGTTTGCCGTGCCACACCCGCCACCAACCATCAACCTATGTGGCGCCTTAACCCCATTTTGGCAACAGGACTCCCCACTCTGGCCCCAGCTCATGCAATATTATTGCTTGCAATCTAATTAACCGCACAGCGAGAGACCAGTCCAGTTGCAAACTCCGTGGGGGGTGGGGGGAGGGTCACTATATGTATATACCTACACTTTATACACCTGGCCAATATTTGCGCCAACTGGTCCTATCAAAATGGCCACATACTTGCACACCTTGCAGGACTATAACCACCTACCACCCACCACCCACCACCCACACAATGCAAATTATACGCTTAATTGAGAACGGAATTCAACGCTAATTCAATTCGCTTTCACTGCCACAGCTTCCGGTGGTCAGGACACGGCAGGACCTTTGCTTGTCGGGGGATGGTCAACGGATTCCTGACTTTTGGCAGCTCTAAGCATGCCGCAAAATGATGGTCATGTTTAATCGAAATAGGTTTCTTATCCTTTAAACTAGTCCTTCAAACTAGTCCTTAAAGTTTCCGCGAATTTTGTTAAAAAATAAAGTCGAGGGGTAGGGTTGCCTGATCTGTCGCTGACACAGTTCCTTTATCCTTGTTCCTTTCTCGGCTTTTGGCCATTTACCATTTCCGGCTGCCCTCCTCCTCGCAGATCCTGCCATTTCCCGCTCACCCTGTCGATTAGTCAATTATAGACAAATGGCCTGGGAATTGGGAGAGTTGGGGAGGAGCGCGGGGAGAGCGCGGCACAATGTAAACAAGCCATCAATAGCAGCGAACTGAGCCCGGGGAGGCCACAGCCACAGCCCGTTGTAGCTGCGAATCCCGGCAAGCGGCCTGGTTGAGATAAAAGAATTATGCATAGGAAACAGCAGGAGAG